TAATCATATCTAAATTATCCAAAAATCCATAGTAATCCTAACTATATTTTGGATTTCATGACCCACGAAACCTATCTCATCTTTTTTAGCCTATTTTTTGAACCAAAAAGCATCCCTACAATGTGAATTGGCCCACCCTGTTTCTTTATCCACTCTTTAAAAACCCAATTCCATCCCACTAACTATTATACCTTAGGACAACTGCTTCTTTTGAAATATCTTTTATAAAGCCTCATCTCTAACTTCATTTAAATATCAATTATTGTTCCGATTCCCTAACTACCAAACTTTACATTTATGTAAGAATAAAGGTGTGTGTATTTGTTGTGTTATTTGTGCAAATCATGTATGTTAATTTCAATATTTGATTACTATAAATATTCTTCTTTTTTTTTATATTTAATTATACTACAATAATTTAAGCCAGTTAAATGCACAGGAATTGTACATTTAATTTCACATACTATTTATTAATCTCATGAATAGTAAATGTTTTGTTTCAGTTTTCCATGAGGACATTATCTGAACCTCATTTCAAAAAGAAATATGTAGAAAGCAGATCAGTTCTATCTAGACATGAAACACATTATTAAACGATACTAGAAGGCTGTCCTGAGTACATGACAAAAGAGATGCTTCCATTAAATTCCATAATTTGAAATGTACTAGTGCAATTGACAAATATACTTTCCTTTTGATTATAGTTTATTCACTTTTCTAATTTTAAATTTAACTTAAATTTCTTGGAATGTTTAACTGGAGATTTTATTTATGGGGTACAGTAAATAACATAAAAAAAAGATCACCACAAGCAATGAAGTGTCTAAACAAAGTATTCTTAAAAAGCTTTGTCCTATAATTAAATTTGTTTTACTGAGTTAAATCATAAATTCGAGCTTGCATCTCTGCTAACTTTTACAGGTTCAAAAAATTGTCTGATACCATTTTATACACTTCTGTTTCTATAAATGTCACTTTAATTTATACCGCCTTTATTACTTTTTAAATAGATCTTATCCTCTAACATAATATTGCCATCAAGCTCACCTTTACCTTATTTAGGATTACTCCCAAAGCCAAAGCCGAGTACACACGCGATGTACAGGAGAGATATCCCTCTAGAGATAGTAAGCCTACATACGAGGAAGAAAGATTTAAATATCAATGCTCATGGCATTAACAGGAGATGATGGGATGTCGGTGGTCGGTTCAGTTACCAACTAGTTAAAAAAAAAATCCTGTTGCCATAGTGTAAAGACTGATTTTTGAAAAGAAATAACTACTCACCTAAATTTATTTCATGAATGAAACAGTGTACCAAAAATTGCTAGACAAGTTTTCCTAAGTATTCTATCAAAACCCAAATAATTGACAAGTGAAATGGAATAAATAAGAAAGAGAAAACTACACATTTTTAAATAAACTGTTGGTATACCACAACATGTGTACTCAACCTAACGCAACTGTCCAACTCATAGCTGTCATTTCACTCCCATGACAAGTTCATATTAAGAAGGAGAATCCAACATATAGCCTATCTGACCATTATAATGACCTGAAGTATCAATTTAAATAATGAAAAATACACTGAGTACTTAAAAAAAAAAATATTGGTGATATATGATATATTATGATCTAGTAATCAACTGTTTCTAAAAACATATTTTAGTTTCTTAACCCTATTCATTTAGTTAATCTCATTATTGTGTGTTGAATTCCATTTAATTAAGACTTTATGTTTCATGGTATACCTTATTCATATCTATTACTCTATAACAATTTATTAAATTGAATTCTTTGCAAGGGAGAAACTTCTTAGACCCGAGAGACTATCAATTTCACCAGAAAATAATACTGCCGTACTCAAGATTGGAATCACTGGTTCAAAACGTTTCAAAATTTCATATCATTAGTTAAAGTAAGTACCGAATCTGAGAAACTACAATTATTAATTAATTTTATCTCTCCATCAGTATATGAATACATTAGTGAAGCAGATACATATGTTAAAGCTATTGAGACATTAAAAAAAGTTTATGTTAAGACTATTAGTGAGATATTCGCTCGCCATAAGCTCAGAACTAGGTGTCAGGAATCTGGAGAAACGACAGAAAAATACTTAGAAGCTTTGAGACGACTCGCCAAGGATTGCTCTTTTAAGGCTGTCTCTATAAAGGACTATAGGGATGAATCAATCAGGGATGCTTTCATAGATGGAGTGTTGTCTTCTCAAATCCATCAAAGGCTATTAGAAAACAAAACCCTGATCCTTACACAGGCTTCCCAGCAGACGAGATCCCTGGAATTGGCTCAGGAGTAGGCTCGGCTGTATAACCAGCAAGTCCTAGTTAATGCAGCTGTAGGTAGTACTTCACCTGAAGCAATGAAAGTTTTTCTATAAAGAATGAATCTCTTGAATCTGAAGTCGTGATGGCTATCATCTTGACGAAAAGCTTCTTCTGGAGAGCTCCTAAGCATAATCGTATCGTATGTACAGCAAGAGATGTGGAATGCAGATATTGTGGAAAGAAAGGCCATTTTCAAAAGGTATGTAGACACAAGCATCAAAATAAGTCATTTCTAGCTAAAAAGACTAATTATTCTAATTATATAGCTTCTATGCCAAAATGTCTCTCCAAAACTATTGTGCAAGCTAAGGTTAACATTCTCGATACTCATGCCCTTATTGACACTGGTAGTTCATCAAGTTTTATTAATGAAAGCTTTGCTTATAAACATAAGATTCCTTTTAGGCTCTGTAAATTCGAAACAGGTATCCATGGCTTCTACATCTTTTACTAAAGCTATTGCTTAGCTAAAGTGAACAGTAGCCCTGACTCTTCAAGATTATTTTCTATATGTCCTTCTTCTAATGGGATATTGTCTGCAGACTGAGTGTCGAGGACCTCGACAGGGCTTGATAACACCTGTGTCCCAGGGATGGTAGCTAAATCTCCTTCAATAAGTTCCACTTCCCACCATTTCACTGCCTGATGGGAGGGAGACATCAGTACCTAACAGACTTCTGGCACCTCCAAGCTCAATAATAGAACTAAGCAATGAAGGAGATTTAGCTACCATCCCTGGGACACAGGTGTTATTAAGCCCTGGCGAGGTCCTCGACAGTCAGTCTGCAGACAATATCCCATTAGAAGAAGGAAATATAGAAAATAATCGAACAATGAATAACCAGCAACTTTTAGAAAACACAGACGAGACTTGTGAGCCTCTGAATTTCTAAGAAGAATTTCTAGAATTAAGAAAGTTCCTTCGTACTTGAAGGACTACTACACTTAAGATTGTTCATTGGTTTATTTTTCATTCTCTTGTTTATTTTTCTAAAAGGGGAGGAGGAGGTGAATGATATTGTGATCAAGTCATCAACTGTTTCTAAAAACATATGTTAGTTGTTTAATCCTATTAATGTAGTTAATCTCATTAATGTTTGTTGAAACCAGTTTATTAAAGCCTCTATGTTTCACGGTATACATTATTTATCTCTATTACTCTATAACAATTGGTACCATGGGAATAATGAATGAAAGAAAATTATTCAGTATTTCTAAGAACGAGAAAGACAAATTAACGGGTAGGAGTGGATTGAATTTAACTAATCTTTTTGATTCTTCAAATCCTCTTTCCTTGGTCACAAATGCCACTTCATTTATAATTTTTCTGCAACTGTTACTACAGAATTTGAAGTTCATTGACAATGTGATATCTTCTTACTGAACATTATAAAAGATAAGAGCATAGAAAGATTGGTGGATCAAACATTATCTAGATGACATGAAAAGTGGTTTACCAACAAATCCATTTAAGACCACTTTGGCAATAACAATATCAAAAATATAAATTAGATTTCATACAATGGATGAAATTTAATTAGTATGAAAGAACAAACACTCAAAAAGAGGCTTACATTAATATTAGTTCGGAAAAATCAAAATACAAAGTTTTCCTTAAGTCTCTAAAATGTAAGTAAAACAAACTAACCTGTCAATTTTTTGCAATTCAGGTATCATCAGGACAGAAAACTACCTAAATCACAAATATGCAGACAAAATACATGTCTCATATCAACATTCCAAAAAACACACATTAAGTAGAAACAGTACATCACTCCATGACATCTAAACACATACTCTTCTATACATCTATTTATGCTGATATGGCTGCATTTTAGAGACTCCAGGCTTAGTGTTTGAAATTTTCCAACTATAACCAAATACGTGAAATTTAATGTTCAGCACAGTTAAGCATGAAAAATAGCACTGGGTTAGTAACTGCTTGACAAGGATTACATTTTCAAGGGCTTTAAGGCAATTTTTCACTTTCGGGGTGACATAAGCCTACTAAACTACTAGTACTAATCAATCAAAAAACATATATTGTGTATCATATAATCATTGATTTTGCAGTTCAAGCAGGAAGACAATTAAGAGAAATCATTGTTTAATAATTCAACTTTTTAATTAAAGTAATATCCTAAAAAATATCAGAATATAATGTTCACATTTGAATTGATAGATAAAATTACCTTTTGTGATAAGAAAGCTGATAGTTAATTTCTTAATACTCATCAGGTCTAACTACAATAATCATTATTACATAGAAAAAAAATAAAGGAAGTTGAGTTAAAATGGATCTAGAGTATATTAATGATGTAAAAATCTAAGTGCTAAATAGGAAGTTTTGATACTAATAAAACACTGTCAACAAAATTGGAATCGCCTACATCAAACATAATAACATTGGAATCTAACATTTTCAAAATATTAATTTGATATCTTTCATACTTCAACAAAGAAAATTGGGAAAAACATGGTATGGGTATAAATGCTAAAAATCTAGTATATCATATTACGCTTCCAAATAATGAAAAAACAAAGAATAATGTATTAAAATTAAATTTACAAAGGTCCAGAATTTATGTCAGAATAATAATAAATATTTAAAATATTTAAAAGCTATTGTAACAGTACCAAAAGTAAACTTACAAATATTATAGGAAGAAACTAAATTTTTAAAATTTAATAAAGTCATTAAAATAAATTTAAGGCCTCATTTGCTCTAAACTGACAGAATCGTTATCAATTATCACATGCCTTCTAAGGTTATGAAAAAGTTTCCAAAGAGCAACAATATCATGACAACACAACACGAAGAAAAATAAAAACATAATATTTCAAAACATCATGAACATACGTCATTATATTTCACCATCACAACGATCTTAGATCCTAAAGGTGCATTTTTCTAGCAAAGTTATGAAATCGTTCAATGCACCATAAACCACTGAATTCTCAGAACCGACATTTTATTAGCAATGTTGCTGCGCGCTCTGCGTAGGGATGCGACGGTCCAGGAAAAATCTGTAACTGCTCCTGTGACACCATTGGAGCAGTGACAAATTACCGGTCTAGAGACAGTGACAAAAGTCTTTTATTTAATTTGTGTATATATTAATATGTTATGCTTTATATCAACCCTTATCTTCCTTCTTCAATCTGTCTCATAGAGTAGCCCAGGGTTAAGCATTTCTCCTCTCCTTTTTAATTCTTACATCAATGACCTTCCTAGTTCAATCGACCATTGACTCCCAATTTTATCTATTCTTTCCGCCCACTGATTTGTTAGATGCGTTTCCTAATATTCAGAAAGATAAGATCAGTGTCTGGGAAAGCTTGAATAAATTAATGTTAAACGCAAACGAAAACTCAGGCCGTTCGGATAGGTTCCAACTCCCTCCTTAGATCCATTCCCACCCTTCCTTTCTTGAGTATTAATGACCAACCAATCTCCTTCACCTCCTCACTAAACAACTTAGGAATTACCATTGATCAAAACCTATCCTGGAAATCTCATATATCCAGAAGGTCAATTGGTACAATTAAACTATTCCATCGTTCTCCTCAGCATCTCTCACAACCTATCCTCAAACTCCTCGTTTTCTCATTGGTTTTCCTCCATTTTGACTACGGCTGTTTGGTATACGGCGGCCTCTCGTTGTGCTTGAGGACGGACTGAAGAAAATCATCAACTGTTTTTTAAGATTCGTCTTCGGTACTTCGAGACGGTCTCATGTCTCCCACCTATATGCCGAGTCAAAATGAATCTTCTCCTCTTCCCGCCGTCAATACTTCCTTGGAAATTTCTTATACCAAACGACCAACTTCTTATTCTTATAATTACTATCTCCTTCAGCCTACACCATCAGTCCACTCAATAAAAACGAAATCCCGTGTTTGTGACCTCTATATCACCTCAAATAGGACAAAAACCTATGAACGTCCCTTCTTAGACCGCTCCGTTACTTTCCGAAATCCCTTGCCACAAAACATTCGTTATGCCTCTTCTCTGTCATCTTTCTGTGAATAATTCTTAACAATGAAAATCTTTAGGTGAGAAGAATATCTTCTAAACAAAGCGTTTGCGGACATACCTTCATAGGATTTTTTTTTCTTGTTTTGAGATCCTTAATTCATTTTTTCAGTTTGGTTACTTGGCAACATAGCCACCTGAAATACCCTGTATGTATATATATATATTTTTTTTCCATTACTCTACAAGTATTCCTGAGAAAATTTTATTTTTATTTCTTTTAGTGTTTGCATATTATTATGTGAATCACTGCAGATATTATAAAAATTTTAATATTTTGTACATTTGATTTTTGTATTTTTGATATTTTGTATTAAGTTAGTTTTTTATTAGTTAGCCTATTGTTTATAAATTGTGTAGTTATGTATATATAAATACGTAATTTTTTTTTTTTCTTCCATTACAATAATAAGTATTTTTGAGATTTTATGTTCATTTGTTTTTTTTTTAAGTGGTTTACATATTATTTTTTGAATTAATGTTAGAATCTTTATAAGTTAGTTTTTGGCCAGATATATATTTTCTTTTGTATTTGTTCATCATTGTTATTCTAAGGGGACTTAGTCCCTGAATAAAGTTCAATTTTCTATTCTATTCTATATTTATTAATTTATTTATTTATTGAATATATCGTAGGTTAGGTTTATTAATATGTCGAAGGTTTAGATGCGATTGATACGGCAATGCTCAAGAATAGTATTCCCTATGCTTGCGATTCTCAAAGACTGCCTAGATAGGGAATATTATCCAAGAAGCTAGAAAATTGCTGATGTCAGTCTCTTCTGCATAGGAAGAGACAAGGACAAGTAACTTGCCAAATCATACAGGCCCATTTGTCTCCTTCCTGAAATGAGCAAGGTATTGGAAAACCTGGTGGTCTTGAGCCTTCGGCCAGTCTTATCAAGATCGGAGAGGTATGTTATGCTTTTCCTGTTCGACATATCTGTATTTGACAGCGTGTAGTGTCCTAGTGCTCTCCAGCAACTCCAGAAGTATGAAATTCCCTGTAACCTGTATGACCTAGTGAGAAGCTACCTCCAGGACCGAACATTGAAAATTAGGGCCAGATTCGTTGAAGTAGAAGACACCGTCGAGAAGCGCACAGAGATCTCATCTGGGTTCTGCCTTGTGAAAGCTAGTCTTTGACGAGCTGCTGGAGAAGCTCGAAGAGAAGCGGTTCCCTGCCACGGCCTATGTTGACAATTTGGCCGCCGTGGTGGCCTCAAACAGCATAGCCGGTCTGAAAGCAGACGCAAAACGATGGGCCAGTTTGGTAGAAAGATGGTGCGAGAGGAAGAAGTTAAAAATGGCTGCAACAAAGACCCTCGCAATTCTCTTGAGGGGAATGACTGATAGGACACATCATATTATGTTGAATATAGAAAAAGAAAGGATATGTCCAAGTGAGGTTGTCACCTACCTTGGCATAAAAATTGTTTGAATGAATGCTCAACGTGACTCCTCATCTGGACTGTGTGAGAACAAGAGTCACAGTGGCCCTAAATGGACTCAGTCGTGTCGGAGGCGCCTTCTCAGATACTTAGCTACAATGACTATATACAAAGGAGTAGTTTTGGGTATTCTGAGATATGCTTCACCAGCCTGGAACCTAAACCTCTCGCCCCGACAGAAGAGTGTGCTAGCATCGATTCAGAGATTGGCTTTATTTGGGGTTATTAGAGCGTATATGTCTGTTGGCTACGGACATTGCTTCACTCAAATAGATTTTGTCGGCTTCATAAATATATGCCTCCTCCTAAATATGTGCCTATATTTGTGACTAAATAAGTCGTAAATATGTGACTCCTCCTCTCCCCTTCAAAAATTCATAATTCCGTAAAGATTGGCTCCCTCAAAAATTTTAATGGCGCATTTTGCTCCTGGATAGCCCTGATATATTAGTTAAGTGTTTTCAAAACACGTAAAACCATTATTCGGTTTCCCTGTTCCCTCGAAATCTGGATAAGACTGATAATTGTTATCATGTCTAAAAAATATGATTCAGCTATGACATATCTCAAAAAAAATATATATATATATATTTTCTGAAAATTTTTCCAACGCTCATTAATTTTGTATGTAAATAGAGCTACATTATCTTTCAAACCTTTGCACATTTTATTATATAATTCATAACGTTTTCATAACATTAAAAAAAATGTATCGCAGAACTTTTGTTTATGTTTTCTGAAAGAAAAAAAAAAAACAGCACTTAGTGCAAAGATACAGAAAATTTGGTGGTTATTTTTTTAAAAAATACTACAAAATAAAAAAAAAAATATTTATAGACCAAATATCGTTTACGTATTTCAAAGGATTGATCATTTTCGTTTTTTAAATGTTTTGTAACCAACATTGAACTGGTTAAACCTGAATTAATCCGTGAAAAATAAAGATAATTAACTGAACTAGCAAATGCAATGCGAGCAATACCATTTATAGAGACTGTTTTGAACTATAAATAAAGTAATGCTGAAGCTATTTGTCAACTGATGGAACTGAATGTCTGCTGGTCCAAACCTCACTCTTCTGTACACTGCAGTGAGAATTTAAATGAACTTTGAAGTTTTATTGGATCACTTTTTAGGTCACCAACTATTTACAGAAAGGATGCTATATTACGTTTCTCATATATTTTATAAGTTGTTTTGGCCCTTCTAGATCGGTTATTAGCCCCACTGTGCGACATATGGGAATATATTTTTAAGTTTTCCATGTCAGTAATTCCATCTATTATAATTCCTTGAAAGGTCCTGTTACACAAATTAAAATTATGTGTGATTGATGATAGTTCAGAAATAAATTAAAATTCACTTGTTTACGTGATATCCTTTGAGTTTTGAAATAACATCAAATAAGGTTAATATTGTTACAGTCTTTAATTTGGAAAAATCGTTTCCGCAACAAACTTGCCGGATGCTCAGTGGAGACGGCAAGGTTAAAATAAAAAATAAAAAAATCTCGTTCACCATCAAGCATCTACGATCAATATTATGACACGCTCACCGGACCTTCATCGGAAATCTTTTATTTTACATTATATTATCAGGGCTATTTATTAACTTTTTTTACTTTATTTTTTTCTTCACGTCATTTAATGTATTTAATCTTTTTCAGCGTCTTTCCATCAAATACCGAATGTCCTCTACGAAATCCTACTCATGTCTAGTGTCCTAACTTCCTGCCACGTCAACTCCCAATCCCTTCCAGCCCATTACGATGAATTCCTAGAATATTTTACTCAAAACTTTTACCACATTATCGCAATTTCCGAAACCTGGCTCAAGCCCTACATCCCCTCCTCCACAGTCTCCTTTCCTAACTACACCCTAATCCCCCACAACCGGGACAGCCGGACTGGCGGAGGTGTAGCTCTGTACGTTCATACAAGCCTAAAGACCCGAATTCTCCATTGTTCTTCTCCAACCGATCAGCCACAAGTCGAGTTCTTGATCGTCGAAATCTCCTGTAACACCTCTCATCTCCTCTAATCCGTAGTATATCGTCCTCCTCTTGTTCCGTTTGATCCGTCTTTCGTCCGTCTTTCCGTCTTCTCTCTTCTCGAAGCCCTAGAATCCCTAGATTGGAATATAATATATTCCTGTACCTCAATTGATTCCATGGTTGACATTCTCACCTCCAATCTTATTAATATCCTTGATGACCATGCCCCTCTCAAAACCTCCACCTTTCGTCGCCTTCCTGCTCCCTGGATGTGCCAGAAAACTAAGGATCTTCAGAAGAGGCGTGATGCAGCCCGTAGACGCTTTGGACGCACTAGATTGGCTGACGACTATCAAGCGTTCAGGGCGCTCCGCAACCTGACACAAACCACAATCCGACGAGCCAAATCTACCTATTTCCATGAAGCCCTTTCCTCAGCTCCTGATTCCAAATCCAAATGGCTACTCCTTCGTAAACTCTCTTTTTGTGATCCTTCCAGATCTCCTCCCTCTGCAGTGCTCCCAGTTTCACCAAATGACTTAAATTCTTATTTTATATCTGCTTCCTCTTCAACTCCTCCATTTCCCCTTTACTCCTTTTCTCCTGGAACATCTTTCAATGACGCCGATTTTTATTTTTCAGATATTTCTCTCACAGACCTCATATCCGCCCTGATGAAATCACACTCTAATTCTATTGGTCCAGATGGCATTCCCGTCAAATTAATTAAATTATGCCTCCCTGAAATCCTTCCGGTACTCCTTTTCATGTACAATTTTTCCCTTCAAAATTCAGTATTCCCTTCCTTGTGGAAAAAAGCCACAGTCCGTCCTTTAAATAAAAATTCTAAGATCCCCTGAAGATTTCCGGCCAATCTCAATCCTTTCTAACCTTTCCAAACCCCTGAAGAGAATCTTGTAATCCCAAGTTTCCAACTTCCTTGAACAATCCAATCAACTTGACCTTTACCAATCTGGTTTCCGACCAGGTTACTCCACACAATCCGCCCTAATCAAAATCATTAATGATGTTCAGTCCGCCATTGATGACAAAAAACTAACTGTCCTTATACTCCTTGACTTTTCCAAAGCCTTTAATACCATTAACCATTCCATTCTCTTTTCCAAATTAAAATCATTATCCTTTTCCCATAGTTCTATCCTGTGGTTTCAATCTTTCCTCTCCCAACGCTCACAAGCTGGAAACACCATATTGCTCACATTTCCCGACGGTCAATTGGTACTTTGAAACTATTCCATCGCTTCCGCCATCTCCTACCATCCCCACAATCAGACTCCTAGTAACTTCCCTCATCTTCCCCCACCTTGATTACGGCTGTGTGGTGTACGGTGGCCTCTCGGCAGAACTCGGGGAGAGACTGTAAAGAATTATGAATGCCTTCGTAAGATTTGTCACAGGGACCCTGGGGTATTCCCGTGTTTCGCACCACTATGATGAATTAGGATGGCTCTTCCCTTCCTTCCGAAGAAAATATTTCCTAGGCACATTCCTTTACCAAATAATCAATAGTCATCGTCCGTCCTACGCATACAATCTCCTACAATTCAAATCATCTATCCACACCCTCTCCACAAGATCTCGTCCTTCCGACCTTTACACCCCTTTCCTAAGATCTGCATCATTTAAACATTCCTTCGTTGTCCGTTCCATTGCATTCTGGAATTCCATCCCACTAAAAATCCGCCATGCATCATCCTTATCCACCTTTAAAATCCCCTTATTCCAATTCCTCTTCACAATCCTATCAGACGCTGGTCAAATCCATACTATGTTATAAGGCCTTAATTTTCTTTAGACGTTATTTTTTTTTCCTCTTATTTTTTATTGTTTTATTCTGTGTTGAACGTGAATTTTCATGACCACTCACTAAGCATTGTGAGTAGATAAAATTTGTTTTTCTTCATTTCTAATTTTTCTATTCATGAAATTATATTTCGGTGAAATATATTTTATTTTCTAATTATCTTCAACACACTTCTCACTATGTGTATATATATGTATACTTTCTTTTATTTTTTCTTCTCTTAATCTTTGCGCATAATCACTTAAATATCTTAGGGAACATACGTATATATATTTTTTTTTACAATTTCTTTCCTTGCATATTAACAGTTATTATTATTTTTTAAATTTTTATATTCCATCACTACAATGCTTTTTTTTTTTGGTCCTTCCCTTCCTCGCCGTTAAGGCTATACGGGATTTTCCCGGGCCAGGGAGTGTGGGCGGGGATTTAAAAGACTCCCTCGGCACCGGGACGCGAACTCGTGACTATTTTTATATCTTAGATTCATATGTCAGTTTGCCAGGCAACGGCGGTGCAGTGCACAAGCTTTAGCCATTTCGGCTACCCCGCCCTACAATGCTTTACCTATAAAATTGATTTTGCGTTCCTTTCTAATTTCATTCAGTGATTATTATGCTATTGTTTTAGCTCCAATATTGTAGTGCTGAACCCCTATTATCCAACTGTTCTCGTTAATTTATCCTAAGAGCTTAATTAATACTTAATTTATTACTAGTATTTTGTTAATATTCATTGTAATAAGTCTTTTGGCCAGATTTATGGTTAATTTATATGAACAATACTGTTATTCTAAAGGGACCTAGTCCCAGAATAAAGATGATTTTTCTATTAAAAAACCTATCGAACCTTCATATTTGGTTAATAATGACTTTCCCTAATCCCTCGAATAGGGTTTTACAGTTCCTTATTAAACCTTAAAAAAAAAATGATATAATATACATAAAACGTGAAAGCAAACAGAAGAAAAAAAAGAAAAGAAAACTGGCTATTATTAATACTTTTTTTTTTTGCTCTTACATTTATTTATCCGCACCTGTCAATTATTATTGACAATCAGCAGATGTGCTGGCTTAGTAATGAGAGAAAAATAAAATAAAATAAAAAATAAATAAATAAAAAAGGCTTGATAGGCATGAGGAATAGCAATACCCAGCGGTATCCCTTCCATGGCTTTTATTTACTAACATTATTTAAGCAGATCCCTCATCCAGACCCTTTTCAGTCGTCTTCTGGAGTTCTCGGGCATACTAGTTGTGGCCATTTCTTTTACCAGCTGGTTGGAGTGCCCGTTTAACATGTTATGAAATCGTTTGTAGTACGTTCGTATGTGTTCATTAACTGTCGGAACGTGTAGGTCGGTGTGTAAAGTGTGATTGTTTACGTACCATGGTGCTTGAGTGATTAGTCATGTATCTTAGACTGAAAAGTTTGAAGTTTATTTATGTGAGTTGGTTTTGCAATCCCGTATATTTGTAGTCCGTAAGTCCAAAGAGGTTTTAAAAGATACGTGTAAATACTTAGTTTCTGTCTTGCTTTTAATTTGGAAGGTCGTCTTAACAGTGTATGTAACAATTTTAATCTTAGATTTAATGTGATTCGTTTTTTCTTCACATGTGGACCCCATGTCATTCTCCTATCGAACGTAAGGCCTAGGTATTGTACTCTGTCTGTTTGTGGAATCGGTATGTTGTCTAAGTATACAGGAGGGCATGTTTCTGGTCTTAGAGTAAATGTGATGTGCTGTGACTTTTGATAATTTATTTTAGTTTTCCAAAGTTTACACCAATCGAGTATAATTTGTAAGTGATGTTGTAAGTTAAGTGGTGCCTCTGTAGGATTGTCGTGCCTGGTAATGATAGCAGTGTCGTCTGCGTAGGTTGCTGTAAGAGTGTGGATACTTTGAGGAATGTCGTGTGTGTATGTGATGTACAGTAGTGGGGCTAGGATTGATCCCTGAGGTACACCAGCTAAAACTGATCGAATTGAGGATAGACCTTGGCCATGTCGAACGGAGAAAAATCTATCTGAGAGAAAGGAATGGAGAATTAAGTAGTAAGTATGTGGAAGTATGGTCTTAAGCTTGAAGAGAAGCCCCTGATGCCATACTTTGTCGAACGCTTGGGCGACATCCAGAAATACTCCGGTTGCATATAATTTCCGCTCTAGTGATGTAGAGATGTAGTCAGTCACCCTGTGCAATTGTTGTGTTGTTGAATGTAATTTTCGAAACCCGAATTGATGGTCAGGAATAATCTGTCTGTCTGTTAGTAAATGTAATAGTCGTGGGTACAATAGTTTTGTAGAATAGAAATGTTGATTAAGTGAATGTGGCCACCATGACAGCGAATTGGTTACCTTAAGTTTGTAAGCACCCGATTCTGAATCATTATATCTTTTACAATTTAAGTTAGCAAATAACGTATACGCTTAATTTATCCAATACTGTGACATTAGTCGATTGCACGAAGACTACTAAAATAGTTTCAATTTAAGTGGCATCAGCTGTTAGTTATACAGACTTGAGATCTCCTAGGACCACGGGAAATTTAATTTCCACACAGATATTAAAGGACGTTCGACGGGCCCAAGAGCCTAATCTGTGGGTTCGTCTGAAGACTCCGCCTAATAGTTTTGTGGATTCATCCTATTATCTGTGGGTACCTAGCCACAAATTTTCCTGTGAAAAGATAAAGTTCTACAGAATAGGAAAAGATGGTAAATAAGTGCTGATATAATATAATGTTATATCGAATTACTTATTTATAGTTTCTAGATTAGAGGTCAGTTAAGGTGATATAATAAGAAAATAGTCATGAAGATTGCCTATAAATGGTTTGTCCGAAACTTTGGTGAATAAAATCAAATAATATTGTTAGTTTCTGTTGGATTTCATAGCGTCCTGGCTGATCCCATCATACTATCAATGAACCGTTACCCGTAACTTCTTATTTATAACTATGGTATAATAAACCAGGAAACGACATAAAAATAAAATAAAACCAGCTTTTTTCTATTTTAATATAAAGTAAATTATTATGAAATGTCTAATACAATCAACGTTTAGTGAGTTCTTACCCATTCGTTTTTCATAAATTAGATCTTTGGATTTGTGTTTGGAGGGAAAGGTTTGTTAGTGAGTCTTTCAATACAAATGTTAAGTTGCTGTGTGTTCGTTATTTGTATTTAGTTATTCTTGTTTTTCAAATATTCTATTACGCTCGATATATCGTAAGGATTTTTCATATGTTCATATATTTAGTTTCTAAACGCATTAATGTTATTTTGATTTTAGATTAAATGGAGAAATTCTTAACTTTATAATGTTTTTAGTTGTTCTGTTCGTTAAAAAATATCGTTTTTAACAATTAATGTACCTCACTTTCTTACAAGATGTTAAAATCTGTTAATTTTGTCTGTTATAATGTCAATACTCAAATTGTTATGCGTTTTTTTTCATATGTAAATCAATGTTTTATATAACAATTTATTTTTTTTCCTCTTTATTTTGCATTGTTATTATCTTATAGTGTGTTGTTTATATCTGGGATTAGGTTATATCATGTTCTAAAATTCACTGTTTTGATACAAATTATTATTTGATTTCAACAATATGAGCAAGGAACAGGCAGAATATTGTGTCATCTTAGGTCTATATATAGAAATTTCTTTTATAGAATATTTGTTGTTTTATTGCTTAGATTAGTGCATACTACTCGATAGGTTTTGTAAATGGTGTAACTTTTTTTTAATCTTAGCAAATTCATCCAAACTCATTTTTTGCTAACCTTAAGTCTGTGGTGGGTGCTTAATTATTATTTTAGTTGATGATTTTTGAAATATTCCTTCAGCTAAGAGTATGAATGCAACTGAAGCTGAGATTCGATATTTTGTAAAATGACAATTATATTTTTATAAACTAATCAAATGAATAGTCATAGCTGATTATATGAAAAGCAGTTCCTCCCCTTTTTTTGTTGGGGTTTAATTTTTTCTCGTGAGTTGATATGTCTAGTGAAGTCTCTAACAGACTGTGCAGAACTCCTGTTGGTTTTTTTGCTCAATATCCAATCCAAATTTTGCAATATTCAGATAAATGGCCTTTTAACATCAGTAAAGTACTTTGGTAGTTATGAAGCCTTCTATGCTTCAATTCTACCAGGCTTTGACTCCCTTGCCAATTTCACACTATGCTATTATCAACTTTCCTGTTCTTCTTAGTTAAAACATTTAAAAGGCACACTTTTTTCTCCAAGGCTATGAATTTTCAATGGGTTTTAAGTGGAGACCCTTTGAAGGTAACTTTGAAAGGTCTAATTTGACTGGGCTATATCCTGAGATATGATTTTCCTAGTTGCTCAATGAATAATAGTATTGATAACTATCATCCGAGCATTATACAATAACCACTGTCTTGTTGAAATGGACAACTTTATTCCCTGATTTTTGTACATTTTTGTTTAAATTACAACGCAACATATCTACAAATTTTCTACAGTCGTGAAGTTCTCCAACCTCTGCTCAGCTCATATAATCTTAAACCATGAAAATATGCCTCTGTTCCCGACTGTTTGCTTAGTATTCTTTATGTGTTAAGCCTTGCTTGATGATCTTCCCTTATAGCCTTCTTTATGATGCATATTTCATATTGTTTGGGACATAACAGGTTTACCAGATGTTACTAATATCTCAGTACTGATTTTTTTTTTTTTTTTACCACAGCATTTTATACTATCAGCAGGTCCAATTTCAAACTTAACTGTGTATTGCACAGTAGTATGAGTTCAATTAACTTCTTTGCTAATCTCCCAAAAAATGGTATTTCTCGGTACTCAACTTACATGCTTTACGACTACGGAAGCAACAAGATCTTAACCAACTTATGTTTTGCTGTGCAAAGCCCTATTATTTACTTTTCGAATCTACTAATCCAAAACCAGTCCTTGGATTGTTTTGGCTAGAGTATTAAATTCAATGTTTACCTCTTCTATTTTTTTTTCTTTGGAAACTGAAAAATATGTTTGTTTAGTATTATAATTTAATTAATTATTTTACCTAGGTTTTTTCTGAAAATATTTTATTTTTCAATGAGAGAGGCATTGAAAAAAAAATTAATAATATTTCACAAAAAATAAATTTTATACAACTTAAAAATATATAATTGGTAATTGGTTGACTGTCGTGGATAATGAAGAGAAGAATAGTTGGGGTGCTCAGTCAAAAAAGGAAGGCAAAAAATAAATTATAATATTTATTTTTTACATATGCCGACGTTTCTCAATTTCTTCCCTCCTTCCTTTCATTCCTTTTCTCTGTTGTTAACTCTCTATTATATTATACATTGTCTGTACATCTTGATAGACTTTACAATATCTCAATTTTCTATCTAACTACTCCATTCTCAATGTTTTTAATTTTACTATTTATTTTATTCTCATTTCTTATATAACTTTATATTTCTTTTTTATGTTTTTACATTTTATTCTAAGATTCCCAATGTAACACTTTTGTCACCCCCTTTTTGATTATGCCTACTTCATCATTCCACACTATGTAACAGTCTGTATTATTTATCTCTTAGTTCTTAGTCATTATTCTAACAATTTCATTTTACTTTATATCTATCTATTTTATTTTTCTTTTATTTAGATCTATTTTATCTAGATCTAATCTATTTTATTTTCTCATTTTTTATTATCTTTTTTACCATCATTACTTATGTTTCTCATACCTTGTTATCTGGTTATTTTCTTAGCCCTGATGATGGCCTGAACTTCAGGTTGAAACGTCGGCATATGTAAAAAATAAATATTATAATTTATTTTTTGCCTTCCTTTTTTGACTGAGCACCCCAACTATTCTTCTCTTCATTAAAAATATATGTAATTAATTTCCATTTCACTTTATAAAATATTTCATCTTATCCATTTTGTCAGTGATTATCCCATTTTTTCTGTACTTGTTTCATGGCTTCTTTGTTATACAGTAGAGCATCAATTATCCAGACTAATCATTACTAGCCGTAGTCTGGAAAATCAATACTATTATTCATTGAGCAACTAGGAAAATAATAACTCAGGATATAGCCCAGTCAAATTAGACCTTTCAAAGTTACCTTTCAAAAGGCGGCCGGGTAATTCAAATTTCTTTTTTATATTGCTAGGTATCTAGTGAATATAAAAAATCCAAGTTTCCACCATTGAATTCCTTGTGGATTCGCTTTTGTAAACATTTTTTGGTTTACGATAAATATCTCCTTTTTAGAGCAACATAGATAAAAAATTTTTATATTCAATCTTAAACAGCAATAAATTATCTTACATTTTTTTTCTAAACCTAACAGGAATCGAATTATCAGGTTTTTAAAATTTGCCCATTTTGATTTCTTCACAATAGTGCTGTTTCAGTTTTGAACGGAACGATTCTATAACTCCATTTTGAACCTCATCCAGAGAATTTGGAGGTTTTCTTTGAAGATAATGAGCCATTGACTGGAAAGGTAGATGGTAGTTAGGAGGTGTTTTGAAAAGTATGTTACACAATGGGACAGACCCCCTATTGTGCACCCTCGTACATCCCAATAAATTGCATACAGATGTGTTCTTTGTAAATAACTACTAATTAAAAAAAAAGCCAATGTTCCTACAAAAAAAGTGGCCCCGCTGTCCCAAAATGTCTAAACCCCTGTGGTGGATTGACGTCTTTGACTGAAGTTAGTTTTTCGGTTACTGAGATTCAGTATTTTGGCTTAATTAAGTCATCATTGGGCTTTAATTAAAGCTGGGTAGTGAAAGAATAATAAAATATTAAAACATAATTGGCCTTGGCAATAAAAAATACCAGTAAATTCATGTTTTTTAATTCATTCAAACATGAAAAAATTGATGTTGAAAAACAAACATGGTTTGTAAATAGACGGGCAACCACAGCGAAAAACGCTTTGTATTAAAATATGTGAAGAATATATTTATCTTTCTAAAACACTGTTTACTTTTTAAAATATTTGAAGCAGTTACTTAGAAAATACATTTAATCGCTGGAAAAGCAGCACTGGAATAGGCGCCTAGAGTCCTCTGCCACATCATCCAATACTCATAAATGGCATAATTACGTTAAAATCATATAATAACGATTTTAGTAGATTGTAGTAGTTGCTTGTATTAACGAACAAATATTAATACAATAATTTAATTGTCCAAAACTATATATTTTTTTTCTTTATATTTTATATATGCTTGTGTAACAGTATAACTATGTCATTTATAAGTACTGAATGATGTGGCATTAAAAGTAACAAGAAAACAAGTAATTGTTGATTATCAATTTCATTAAAATAAGTGGAAAACAATAAAAATAAATTTAAGATTTTTTTCGAATTTCAAAACATCCATTTCTTTTTAGCGATTTGTATTTAAGTTGTTAAGTTTAGAAAACTATGTTTCCTACGAAAGCTGTAGTATATTAAATTATGTGTGCTTTAATATTTAATTAAATAATTTGAGCTTAGTCACCTATAAAAACATATAATTAGTTACAAACAAAAAATTGCGCATGTTTTTTGTATAATACTATATAAACCCTCTACAGAGGGGTGAGGGGTATCTGGTATCTGTAAAGGAAGGAGATCGGCAAAGGTTGAGGGCTTTAGGATGTTTTCATATAGCTTCCAACCCTAATTTCCCCTTTAGTTACCAATCAATTTTCTTCATTCACTATATTTAACCATTTTTTATATCAGGTTCAAATGTATAATATTTAATTATTTCAAGAAAAAAGAATTAAACATACTTCAGAGGGAGAAATGTTGATAAATCGGCATTTAAGCCCTGTCAGGTTGCATTGGTGAGGATAAAACTTACTTTAAATTTAAAAGCACTTAGAAATACACTGATCTAGTGAGTTTAATCAAAATCGTTAGAGCCGTTTTTGAGAAAATCGTAAAAACGTGATAAATCGAGGATATAAAGTACCACTTTTGGTTGCTGATTTTGACGAAAAAGTTGCTGTAACATCTGAGGCATATACAAACCCAATTTCAGTATTGTAAGACTTTTCGTTTTTGAGCTAGGCTGTTCACACACGCATGCACACATACCATTTTGTGGGACTTGTTGGGGATTATTTGGACTTAGGGGATGTAAAAACATGTATTTCTGTTGAAAACTCAGATTTCAAATTTCTCATTATCGCAATACTTACCATTACCATATATTACATAAAAAAACAAAACAAAAAAAACAACTACCACTACAACCCATGAAGGTTCTTGGATTCAGTACTATTTAGGGAAAGCACTGTTTCTTGGTCTACGGTTGTGCAATGAGGTGATTTGACCGAGATCACACTCAACCGCCAGGTTTTTCCCCTTAATCAATTATTTTAATTAAGGGTACCCACTTTATAGAGGCTGGGTGTGCCCCAGGAGGGTCTACTTACCCAGGGTTGCTCCGCGGCCAATGAAACAGAATAAATAATTTTTCTGCCATGAGCCGGGATTCGAACCTGGGACTTTTAGCATTGGATTTTCAGTTCTCTACCACTGAGCTACCCCGCTCCCCCAAATCTATGACTAACTGTTATTTCTCCTTTAGTTAAATACCAAATTAATTATTCGTTCATACTTTATTTTATCCATTTTTATTATTAGTTACAATGTGAAATGGTTAATTATTTTAAATAATCAAAATTAAAGGTACTTAAGTGAAAGAAATTTTGTATTTAAGCCCTATTAAACTATTTTAATGAAAGTGATTTCCAAGACCATTTCTTTTTATGTTTATATAATGTGTTTAACCAAAATTGATTGAGTCGTTTCCAATAAAATTCTTTTGCCAGTTCTGGGCGTTTATTTTTAATTGATTGAACCAATTTTGCTAATTGTGAGCAGTATAGAGTTGAATCAATTGTTTGTCCGGAATGCAATAGCTCATAGAAAATAACACCCTTGAAATCCCACTATATGGAAAGCATTATCTTCTTTGGATGCAATTCGGGTTTTGACATTCTTCTAGGAGCTTCACTATTAGATTCCCAAGATTTTCTACGGACTACATTATCGTAAAATATCCAGTTCTCATCTCCTGTTACCAACATTTTCAAAAATGGGTCGTTTTTGTAGTGAATCACAAACAGAAATGCGTTGACTTCGGTTAAAGAGTGAGGGATCCAAACCTTAAGCCTGGAAAAAGACGAGCTGTGCAAATGGTTTTCTATGCTTGTGTTCGTTACATTTAGGGCCATAGCAATCTCTCACATTGATTGGGTGGGATTTTGATCAACAATGGCCTTATCATTGCTCGTTTCAATTTCATGTGGGCGACCAGACCGTTGAGCATCATTGATGTCAAAATTTCCTAAATGCAATTTGGCAAACCAATTTTGACGGATGCGTTCAGTAAAGGCATCATCCCCATAAACACTGCATGAATTTTTTCTATGAACAAATTTTTCTGTGAGCTTCTGTAGCATGCTTACCTTTTATAAAATAATACAACAAAATACGCTGATAATGAATGATGTTTTCTTCCATATTCACAGTGCAATAGCAAACACAATACGAAGCTAGTTTCAACAAGAGTTAACAGATATAGTCATTGACATATTACAAACAGGATAAATAATCCACCTTAAGGATTAATTCATCAGATAAGAAGTGTATCATAGTGACATAAAATTAAACAGAAAAACCGAAAGGAATTATTTGCCAATCCAATACTAAGTAGGTACTCATATTGTTGAAGGTATATCTTTTTTGACCGCCCAACCTCAATGTCTGTTCGAAATTAGACTAGATTGGTATAAAACTGATGAAATGAAGCATACTTTTTTAAATGCCCGAGGTCGAAACTTTAAAATTTATTGTGTTAGATTATTTCTGAAAATTATTTATTTTTTAATGATGTAGAGATGGTTGACCGTTGATATAATATGAGAAGGAGTTAGTCGAGGGTGCGGTCAAATAAATAAAAAATTAAAATATATTAATTATTTAACCATGTAACTCTAACCATCTGTTTAACTTACATGCTATATTCTCCCTTATTTTTATTTTTATTCCTTCTTATTTTCCATTTATTTGTATCTTCAACATATATAATTCTTAATATTTAACTACATTGTCACCCACTATATCTCTGATACCATCTTTTATTTCTGTATCTGACAACTTCTTATTTTATATATACTTATATTTATTTTTTATTTTCAACATGTTTTGTATCTTTTGTAGCCCTGAAGACGACCTGCAAAGTGGGTCGAAACGTCGGCAAAAATTAAAATAATTAATATATTTTAATTTTTTATTTATTTGACCTCACCCTCCACTAACTCCTTCTCATATTTATTTTTTACTTCTTTATCTTGCTTTGGCTGCCTATATGGCCTGATATAGCGACATTATCTTTCAAATTGGTTACTTTCCTACAGTAAATTTATTGTAGATTCCTAAAATGGTAGCAAAAATGACAAATACTCTCGTGCATTAAAGAAATTTGGATTTGTATGGGAAAAAACGTGGTTTTCTTGGAAAACCCTTAAAATATATATCTTGATCATGCAATGATATTTGAATGGGCAGTTGGCAGTGCTAAATTACATTTTTGGTAGATCACTATCTCTTCCTAATTAATGTTAGGCTGATGGTGGAGAATGCTTGTTATTTTTCTGTGATAAAACTACTTAGTTCGTGCCTCCGTTCCTGAAACTTAAAAATTACAATTTACTACACCATCGTCCTATCTGCAGTTCTTTATGGATATGAAAAGTGACCGCTTACATTAAGGGATGAAAAACGCCATAAGGTTTTTTAAAATAAAGTATTGGGTAGAATACTTGGACGGAAGAAGGATGAGTACTGGAGAATTTAGATGGTTACACAATGCAGAATTGTGTGAACTGTATTCGGTTAATATAATTGAAGTAATCACATTGTGGCTAATAAAATGGGTGAGTAAAATTGTTGGGCTTAGTAACAATAGAATTTCTAAAAGGTTAATATGCACTGTACCAACTGGTAAACGTCCAAGGGATAGACCTAAGTGAAGATGGGAAAATTGGGTTAAAGCTGTTCTGGTGAGGTAGGGTTTGGATGGTGACCGGTGGAGGAAGGTCTCTAGACAGCGATTGGTGGTGTCGGCTTGAATCCTTCGGGTTCGCTAATCCTTTTATAATTTATTATTATTATTCATTATCTCTTCCTTAATTATTGACATTTCCTTCTGGAATGACCTGTATGTTAATCTATATTTTTAACCATTATCATCAATAATAGATTATATTCGGAAAAAGGTTTTAAAAAATAATATAAAGAGTATCTATTTTCAGCTGTTTTAACTTTACTTGTATTCTTGAACTGTCCTTTCCCTTAAACTTCAGAACTATTATATTTTTGTCAGCTAAATCCTTTGTTTTTGTGCCTATTCTGTTGCTGTTTCAAGTTTTAAAATGCAATAATTTTTACTATATTTTTTTGTTTGTCTTAGGTTTTCTATTCAACTAAGCTCTATAACATTTGTCTTGAATTAAAATTTGAAAACTTTTTACATCCAAGTAGTTTCATTAACACATCAATGTTCTTCAACTAGTGTAACTTTTAATTACGTTTTAATCTAAATCAATCTGGTCTTTATTATTTATTTATGTTTTTATGGATTTCATCCCGTAATGATTGAGGCCTAAGTTTGCTATCCCTGGGCCAGAGTTTGATTTTTTTTAAAAAATTCTGGTTTAACCTTTATATTCTGTAAAAAGTTTTAAAATGGTTCCAATTTGCTAACAAATTAAGTAATTAATTTTTTTTAAAATAGTCGGGATAGTTGACATTCTCAAAGAGTGACATCTAGATAAACAACACTGTTACTATACTTGCTATTTTTTATTATATTTTTATAGAAATATACTGGTATTATTTCTCAACCAATTACCCTTATACTATATTATATAGTATTATATATAATACTATATATATTATATAGTATTTATATTACTGTATTATTTCTCAACCAATTATCCTTATACTATATCTCTCCACCAAACATAAAGAGTTCAGTTTTCATTAATGACAATAAGCTATTTTTTTTCTGAACGATGATCAATAGAAATTCAACACTTTCACAAGATAAATATCCATCTTCTGATTTATTTTAGTAGTAATTATCTCCTAATCATAGTCTTATTTATGATTATGATTTATACATTCTTTTCACCCTAAAAATATGGTTTATAATTCCTTTTAACATTTTCTTTATTATGAAATAAATTAGAATAAAAGTAACTGATAAAATATATATATATATATATATATATATATATATATATATATATATATATATATATATATATAATGTTTTAATCATTAATCAAACCGATTACCTTATACCTTAGTTTCATATATGGGTGAGATCTTAACTTATAGAACATCTCATATTTTTTGTAAGTCATAAAATTCATAATGTTTCGTGTAAAAAAATCAAAGGACTTTAGGTTGTCAATGAAAATGAGTTTATAGAAGTTTCTGTGTTAGTTTTTTTACAATATTACAATTATTTTAGTGTTAGCTGTGTAGTCATGTGTTTTTATTTATGTTAATTTTATTTTTCTTTAGATTATGCGTACAGAAACAAGAGGTGAATTCCACTTGAATTACTCTACTCCAGATCCAATATCTTGTGTGACATTCGCTCCGAATTCATCTCAATTCCTTTTAGTTTCATCATGGGACCGAACAGTGTCTCTGATGCATATTCAAAGTAATTCCTTACGTGCCAAATATTTTCATTCAAGACCTGTGCTAGATGTTTGTTTCCAGGTAATTTAATTATCTATAGAATTTGTTTGTATTTATACTGTTTCTAAATTTGAATTACGTACAAAAATTAGCATTAAATTATTGTTTACACTTTATTCATAGATTTTTTAGTGTAGCTTCAAAACAGCTTGGTAATTATATATGGCAGGGATACCCCTCAAGTTACACTTTAACACCATTATCTAAGTATCTTTCATGACTATAAGTATATAATTTCAAATTTCTTTGTTTTTTTTAATATATGTATATCTTTGTTATTCCTTCCTGTCCTTATTCCGTACTTTACCTTATCCACAACTATTCATTTCCAAACTCCATATTCCCATCTTCCTGGAAAACTGCCTTAGTTGTCCGATTAAATTAAAAGCTGGAGACTAAGAAATGTGCTGCAAGAAACGGCACTGAACTAATGATACTGAATAAACATTTTGATTCCATAGAAAGTAAACATTGGAATCTAGAATCATTTCATTGAATTAAGGATTAAGGGTTATTGTCCTCTATATTAACATTCCTAATTGAAAACAAACAAAAAGATTACCTATTTATTCATTAAAAACAATAGACCAATCCAAAGCAGAAATAGTTTTAGATGAAAACATGAAAAAATCAAGTGGGTGGAATTTTTTGCCTGTCAGTGTATTATTATCATTGGGGATCCCGACATCAATAAGCTCTGATTTTTTTCTCTCATGTCTATAAGGAGGATATCTGGTTTATTATGACACACAGTATGGTCAGTAATAATAGATTCATTCCAATAGTGCTTGAGACCATTTTTTTGGAGGACTATATTTGGGTGATACTTATAATATGGAGCCTTATCATCTAAAAAGTTGAGCTTTACCGCCAAAGCCTGGTGAAAATTTTTGATCATATTGTTATGCTTCTGGAGATACTTAGTGCCCGCTAACACTCCACATTCACCTGTGATATGTTGGATCGATTCCAGAGTCGCTGAGCATAATCGACATTTATCCATAGTTGTTGCGTCTTTTGGGACATTCCTTCTATATAATCTAATGGCAATAACTTTGTCTTGAATGGCCAGCTTTTAACCATTCGACTGAAATTTCCTTGTCAATGGAGCTATCATTCAATTTGCTGTAGAATCATCTTTCATACAGAGGTTTGTTTTTTCCATTCTGTCAACCGTTCATTTTCTGACACAATGTATAGTCATCAAGTGCGGTTAGACCAGAATCCATCCTTGAGATTGCGAAATAAACCTCTGTCCTAAAATAAATAAAGTATTATTATTATTTTAGAATTTTGCCAGAAATATTCACCTACCCATATTCAAGGGTTAGGCTCAGAGTTTAATCTATGCTTAAAAATTTTCTAACGATGTTGGCTTTGCTGAGGGAAACTGCTTTCTTCCCTTCTTCCAATACTTATTTAGGCAGCTTTAAACTGGATATTACAACTAGTTTTTACCTACCAATAAGTATTTCCTTCTATAAGTACATGATTCAATCTGTAAAGTTGTCAAAGACATTAACATTGGCGGGACCGTGATATCAGTGACAGCCACTTTTTGTCTTTCGGCCAATTGATACCTTGTCCAGTTTATTATTTATTACCGCCTGGTCTGTAATTATAGAACGATCCCAGTATAATGTTTTATTTTCACCTGACAATACCGGTTTGGGCTCATAAGGAACCTGTCAGCTGTCATGTTATGTAGTGAGGCAAGCTTTGTGGACAATCTTTGGTAGTTCACTGTGCTTGATCAAGTATTTTTTACCTGCCAATGTTTGACTTCCTGATGATATATGTTGGATTGACTGTTGCATTTTTACTTATGTCTTCCTGTCATATATATTTCCTATTTTCATTGGTGATAACTATCTGGGCCTGAATTGCCAAAATAAATCCTTCAGTTTCGGGAAAGAAGTATTCTTTATTAAGCCAATTGATAGAGGCTTCTCAGACGATTCCCGATTGAGACAAAGAAGTGTAAAAGTGGCCATGTAGTGAGTGCTTTACTTTTCCAACTTTCGATTAGATATCAACTTATTATATGAGTTGTATATATAAGCTTAGGAACCTCTTTATGAACCGTTGAAACTAAGTTTAAACCTGTGTAAGCATCATCCAACGTCTTTATTGCTGACCATACTGTAGAGTTTCTTAGTTGAAAAGTGGCTCTTAAATTATTTTCTTAATTAACAAACAAGTCCCATTACTCCTTCTTCTGAACTAGTACACCCTCTCGATTGAAAACTTGGAATGTCGTTTTCTGGCTGAGGTAAAAAAAGCCCTAACTAACCGATTCATTTCCTCAAGCTTTGTACTATACCACTTTAGAACACTAAAAGAATGAGTCAACACAGGAGTAGCCCATATATTTATTGCTTTAATTAAATTATCAGATGACAGGTACATTTTGAGTTTTTTTTTATTCTCCTTTATTATTATCTTATAATAATAATTTAATTATTTTAAAATAATAATTTTCTTAAATTTCAAAAGTTGGTCAAAATTTAAATATTTGTAAGAATCTGAAATTTTTAGTTCCTTTATTGTTTCGTTGTTAATCAGTTCCGTCCTTTCTTTATTTGTTATCTCTTCCCTCCCTTTTAACATGGATTATAAAATACTTTTCTATTCCCAAAATCATGCCTATTTTGTGAATAAATAAATGACTATCATTTGGATCATGTTCACTAGTTCTTCTTCACTTTTGGAATCCAGTTTTAAATCATCCATGTAGAGAGTTGAAATTTATTTGATGTAACTTAGGTTTCTTAAGAGTTTTATAGTCTCTCTTAGACTATTAAAATTATTCCACATAACCATAGCTCTAAAATTGATAATAACAGTTTAAGAAGGCTCTTAAGTTGCACGAGGTATGAAATTAGTCCTCCGTATTTTTTTCTTTTCTATTTTTTCAGGTTTAAACAAAAAAATTTTTTTTTTTTTTTTTTTTTTTATCTATTTATTGAATAATAATACAATCAGCCACTGGAGGGCTATAAGTATTAGGGCTAAGAGTTCTCATTCAAACAATATATACAAATAATAGAGAAATAAATATAAATATAAAAAGTAAATAAATAATACTGATGAAGAAAGAAAATAAAAGAAAAAAAATAAATAAACAATAACATAAAAAGAAACTTATAAACACAATCATACCTATATACAATATATACATTCGCCCAAGAATCTCCGAGCCAGGCTTTTTCCCCCACATGTGGAAGGCAAAGCAAGACTCCAGGAGATCCCAGTGCCACTTTTCCAGCCGCATCACTAGTATTAGAAGCCAATGGAGACTGAAAGAGGGCACTAGAGCCACAGACGCTCGGGACATGAGTGGAGAAGCTGGCCATTGCCAGGACTCCAGAAGCATATTTACAAGAGATCTCTGGGCCACTGCCGTTTTAACCTTCGTGGAGGATTGTAGGGATGAAGGGAGCTGGATAGGGATTGAGCTAGAGGATTTGGATGATGGATAAGGTTTTGGTGAAAGTTTGAGAATCTGGTTGGGATGATGTCGAGGACAAATGGGATGTTAAGGTCATGGTGTAGGGTCTTGTTTGTGACATAATATGGGGCATTGACTATTGTTCTAAGTACTTTGGACTGGAAGGATTGGATGCGTTTGATATTCGAATGTTTAGCAGTTCCCCACAGTTCAAGTCCGTAGGTCCAGATAGGTTTCAGTATGGTCTTGTAGATTAAAAGTTTATTTTCAATCGAAAGATGGGATGTCCTACTTAGTAATCTATACAGCTGGCCATATCGTCGGTTAAGTTCTTGTCTTTTAAGTCTGGTATGTGGGTTCCAAGTTAGTCTTTTGTCAAGAAGGAAGCCAAGGTAACGGACTGTGTCTGAGTAGGGAAGTGGAATTGAATTAAAAAGGATTGACGGACAGGATCTGCGTCGCAGGGTAAAAGTGATATGTTTGCATTTTGATTCATTGATTTTGATGCGCCAGTTGTTGCACCACTGCTCAATCAAAGAGAGGTGAGATTGTAGGTTTAGAGATGCTATTTGAGGATCTGAGTGGGAAGATAGAATGGCAGTATCATCAGCAAATGTAGCTAGAAATGTATCGGGATTTGAAGGGATATCGGAAGTGAAGAGGATATAGAGAACTGGGCCCAAGACACTGCCTTGTGGAACACCAGCCTCAACTGGATAGTAAGTGGAGAATGCGGTGTCACAACGGACTTGAAAGGAACGATTTGAGAGGTAGGATTTGAGGACTAGGTATAAGGATTGGGGTAAATGGGTTTTGAGCTTGAAAAGCAAGCCATCGTGCCACACCCGGTCGAAAGCTTGTGCTACGTCCAGAAAGGCACCAGTGCAATAATGCTTGTTTTCAAGTGCAGAGGATATATGGTCCACAACACGAAGGCCTTGTTGGACAGTGGAATGTCTTGAGCGGAATCCAAACTGATGAGAAGGGATGTTGTGGGATTCGATTATGGGTAGGATGCGTTTGAGAAGGATTTTCTCAAAGATTTTTGAGAGGATCGGGAGTAAGCTTATCGGTCTATAGGATGATGTGTTATTAACAGGTTTACCTGGTTTTGGAAACAGGATGATTATGGAATGTTTCCACACCAAAGGAAAGTTGGTTGTGCGAAGGATGCAGTTGTATAGATAGGTAAGGAATATGATTGCTTTTTTGGGAAGTTGTCTGAGGATTTGTGAAGTGAGGAGATCATATCCAGGGGATTTTCGGGGTTTTAATTTGTTTATAAGGAATTTGACCTCAGAGGGGTTAACAGGTTTTGGAGGTAGAGAGAGAGGAATTGGTGAAGAGAGGAATTCTTCAACTTCAGCAGTGTGGCTGGGATGGAGTTCGGGATGAGGGGTGAATGTGTAGGATAAATGTTTAGCAAACTCCTCTGCTCTATTCGCATCTGACGAAGCCCAGGAACCATCATCACGGCGAAGTGGATGGGAAATGGACTGGAATTTAAGGATTTTTTTGGTTACATTCCAGAGGGAGTTATCACTAGCGGATAATGAGGAGAGGTAGGAATTGTAGGATTGGGTTTTAAAAGTTTCCAGTTTCTTTTTTACCTGTTTGGAATAATAATTATACGATTTCCGGTCATCAGGATGCCTGGTTCTTTGCCAAAGGGTCCTAGAGCAACGTTTGCTATGGATTAGGTCCAATAGATCTTGAGGTAAAGGATTTATGTTATGGTATTTTTTGGGACGATCAGGTGAGGATGCAGTCCAAGCTGCTTGCTGGATCAGGGTAGTGAAGGAATGCACTGCATCGTCGAGGTCTTCAGGTGTTTTTAAGGAAACTCTGAGGTCAATATTATCTTCCAGTATTTGACGGAAAAGGTTCCAGTTAACTGGCCCCCTGATAAATGAAGGTGGGGATGATTTGGGAATGGGAGATGTGGAAACGGTTAGGACTAGAGGACTATGGTCTGAGGAAAGATCATCAAACCTTGAAATAGAACAGTGTAGTGATCCTAGACCTTTGTGGAGGAAAAAGTCTAGAAGGTCGGGATTGCGGTTGGGATCTGTTGGCCAGTATGTGGGTGTATTAGGTGAAAGGATGTTGCTGCGATGGGAATTAAGTGCAGATAGCAATGTTCGCCCTCGGGAATTTGTGGATCTGGCTCCCCATTGCTGGTGTTTTGCATTTAGATCTGCACCTAGGAGGAAGTGGTGTCCTAAGGAATTCAGGAAGGAAATTATTTGGGATTCGGAAATGGGTGTTTTAGGTGGGGAATATGCCGCAACTAGTGTTATTGGGTAAAGGGGTGTTTGGATTATTACGGCTGTGGATTGTAGGAAATTATGGCTTGGTAAGGGAAACAAATGATGGGAAACGGATCGATGGATAATTATGGCAGTGCCACCATGTGCTGTTCCATCAGGATGGTCGGTTCGATAAATATTGTAGCCGGGCACGTTGATTTGTCGTTTGTTGGTTAGTCGAGTTTCAGTTATTAGTGCTATGTCGATGTTTTTGTCATGTAATAAGATTGTCAGTTCGTTGATGTGGTTCCGAATACCATTCGCATTCCAGAGGAGAATGGAGAGGAATTTGGTTGAGGACATTTATGGATTTCTTGGCAGTGGAATGAGGTTGGATATAACATTGGTAAGTAGCGAAATAAGGGGGGTAATGAGAGATCTAAATTCGGAAAGGAAAGATGTCAATAGGCTTGTGAGGTCAGTGGAATTGGAAGGAGGAGGAATGAATGTGTGAGTATTTAACCTACGTTCAGGGATGGAGGGATATGGGTCTTGAGGTTGATGTGTGAATTCTTGAGGTTTAGATTCTTGTGGCAGGGCCTGAGATTGAGTGTTTACAGTGTCTCCTTTGAACATCTGAGCATAGGACACTCTTCCGTTCACTGTTCTATAGGGTTGTCTTGGTGGCCTGGATGTCCCTTCTTCTCTAGGCGTTGCGTACATTCGTGTTTTCAAATCTTTGTAAGTTTGACAACCCTTGTAGTTGGCTGGGTGTCCTTGGTGGCATAAAGCGCATATTGCAGGTGAAGTTCTAGACTTCCTACAGTCCTCTGTTTTGTGTTGCTCACCACACCTCACACATCTAGGAATGTGATGACAATACCGTTTCGTATGGCCATAAGCCTGGCAGTTATGGCATTGAACGATGTCGCGCTTGCTGTAGGGCTTTTCTACAACAACGCTTGTATAATAAAGGCGTGTGACCTTGTAGATGTTTTCGACATCGGGTGTTCGGTCAAGGTCAACGAAGAATAGTGGAAGAGGTATTTTATTTTTTATTCCAGGCTGTTCTCTATCCTCCTTAAATATGTTCACTATCTGGCGAACATGGAATCCCATACCCGTGAGCTCTTCTTTTATAGCATCTGTTGGCGTAGATGGGTGCAGTCTTCTGATAACGACCCTGAGCGCCCTCTCTTGACGCAGTTGATACGTGTGGTAATCAGCCTTGGTGTCAGATAAATATTTTATGATTTTTCTATAGGTTTCTGGAGTGTCGGGCATTAACTTAGTGTCATTGGTGCGGCTTTGGCATAAATATTTTCCTGAACCTACCAGATTATTCAATTGATTACACATCAATTGAAAATTTTTAATATTTCTAACAAATATTGGTGGGGGTTTGGGTTCTCTGGGGATGGATGCTGCTTCCATTTGTTCGTTATTTATATTTGAAAGCACTTCAAATGGATTCGAAGTGAAAAACGGCGATTCTTCACCCATAGCTTGAGTTGTCTCATAATTGTTGGGTTGTTGTGAGGAGCCAGGTTGGGGTTCCACTTCTTCTATGGAGCTCCCTGGTGTGGCTGGTGGAGTGTTTCTTTTCGAATGCCTTGTCTTTTTTTAATGGGAGAACTAATTGTAGTATCCAGGCTCCTGGACCTAGTGTTTTTGCCCTTACTCGACATTAGCATGTGATAATATCGCATTTCATATTTATTTTTAAAAGAAAAATTGATAAAAGTGAAGAGAGGAAAAAAAAAAAATTTTTATTGAACACGAAAATATAGACGCGCTCTTGGAGAGCACAGATCTGCCTCCGACGGAGGGATCTAGCCCACTGGTATTAACGACTGTTGCAGCTTATGGCTGGCCGTTATCTACAACCTAAGGTCTATTTACACTGTTCACTCTTGTGTTGTAAATAAGTGATCACTCACCTTATTTTTTTTTGTCCAGTATCAAACGTAATTGTTAATGTAACTGATAAAACTAATTGTTCACATTAAACTTGTATACTGCCACTGATAAATGAGATTTTTATAAGAGACGACCTGACGTATGTTTAACTAGGGCTAACGCATGCGCAGAACTATTTCTAAAAATTAAAGAAAACTGTTAAGGTGCATACACACTAGGCGAATCTTCATGATTGAACAGTTTAGTGCAAATGCCCATCCTCACTAAGCAAATCTTTATGTATGAATGGCTTATTTAATTAATTTTAATTGGGATTAGTGTTCGCATATGTCTTCGTTGAAGTTCGCCCTTCAGGCGATAAATATCATAATATTTAAAGTTTTGTTTTAGTGATATACCTAATACAATTTAAACAAATGTAAAATACTAAAGAAAATGGAGTAAATGGTTCATAATAATATTTTATGAACAGAGCTACATAAAAATCACTCCAAAAAGAAATAAAAATATTGATTATTTATCCATGGTTAAGTTGAATAGCATCGGTGAGAGTCCATTACCCTATTGTTGAGTATACCATTTTTTTAAATTACAAACCTGATCCAATCTCTGTGTTTTCTAGGATGCAATACACGTGTATAGTGGGGGTTTGGATAATGTCCTAAAAACCTTTGAACTGAATACTCAAACAGGTATGCTTTGTCACATTAAAAGTTTTAAATTTCAATATAAAATGTACACATTAAGATTATTTTTCAAAAAATAGACTATCATTATCCATTATTTAAACTCATTTTTCTGCCAGAATTTGAATTTGGTGGTGATACTTATCCTTGGTTTTTGAGATGAAAAACTCTTCATACCCTACTTTGACATCCTCATTGTTTTCAAAGTTCTGCCCTTTCAAAAAATGTGCCATTGACTGGAAAAGAGTGTAGTAAGACTATGCCATGTCAGGGCTGAAAGGATTATTGGGTAAGATGTGAAAACCCTTCAAGATAATTTTTTGTTTTTATTAAGCAAAAATGGTAGGCAAGAACATTGCCTAGCTGAAATATTGCTATATTCTGATTGTCTATATCAGGGTAACACTCACTCAGTAGAGCAAATAGCCCTGCCATGTGGAATTAGCTCGAAGTGTAAAACATACTTATATTTTTTTCCAAGTAGATCTTGGCTAATTTCTTCTAGAGCCTCTTGATCTTGCATTACTACTATTTTCGCTTGATAGAATTTTTTTTTCCATTTTTCATGGCAAGTTACAATTATTTCCAAAAAAAATATATTTAGGATGTTGTAGCAAACTTTCATTGATAACAACTCAAGGAGGTTGATGAGTCATGATAATCTAATCTAGGTTGAATATCTCGGACATTAAGCTTTTCCAAATGACAGCATACTGCGATTAATTTATTTGTAGATATACAGAGTTGAAACTCCCTTTTCAGACAATAATCACAAACGGATAAATGGTCACAAACTGATCCTGGCTGATGGACTCAATAATATGAAAGGCAGTTATATTACTAAATTATAAATTGTTTAATATAGTTTCATGAAGCTAAATTAAATGTGTAACAGTGACGGCAGGGTTTTATATTTCTGCAAGGTTCTTTAGCTGATTTTTTTTTTTTTTTAGATAAGGTCAATTGATTAAAAATAATATATTACATCCTTGACTTGCTGATTAATAAACGCAATCTTGTTTTTACTGTGTGATATTTTAAAGATAATTTAAATATAAATATATATATATATATATATATATATATATATATATATATATATATATAAAATATATATATTTTATTGTCTTATGCATACACATTGTGCTAATTAAGCAAACAAATATTTAAATTTTTGTATTAACTATAGAAATCTCTTTCATTTTTAGGGTAATTATTTAAAGTGTTATAAGTTTTACTACCACATACTAAAACTATTTGCTTTAAGGAACTGTAGAGAAAATCTTCATGAATTTCTATAATTTTTAATAACGTCATATTGTCATTTGATTGCTTTGTAGTCAAATGTTAAAATACTTATTTTTATATAGCTATAATTACTAAATGATAATAGTGATATTTGATAATAACTGTTCAGTCATTATTCAGTTTCCTTCTGGCGCCTTCTCACATTTTATTTCTATAATTATAATTGCGGGACTGCCTCCCTACTCTGGTCAATATAAACACCAATAGTACGTTTCAGATATGTAGTGAAGTATGCCTCTTGCACCAGGGAAGGATGTTACAAACTGTTTTTTGTTGTCCTAGATTATGGCCATTATCTTGCAAAATCCTCTTCAGATTTTTTATGATCAATACAAAATATATATATATCAATGCACATGACTCATACTTCTAATTCCCTGAGGAGGTGAGCATTTAAACTAAATTATTATTCAATAACAATAAGCATCGCTCCGCTCTCACGGTTTTTCTCAACTGCTAGGAAGTTCCTGTTGAAATCATGGCTCAGACTTTTCATCATTATCATTTCACCTCCATTACTCACCCTTGTTTGTAAATAGAAGGCACATGAAAGCTAAAAGGTCCTAATGCTAATTTAAGGCAAATTGCCGTTCTAAATATGATTTTGCTATTAAAGGTGTATTTGCTTTAGGTGTGAACTTTATTTGAAGATGTGTGAAGTTTATTTTCCTTTTTTTATGTGATGCAGAATCATAGAAAATATAATTTGTTTGGAATTAGTAGTTTGATTATGAATTATCCTTGTCTTATCATTCCTGTAGGAAGTAAATCCATTCATAGCATTCCAATCTCATATGGAAATTAGATTAGCCCTAACAATCTTAATCAGTATTTCAATTTTTTGAACAGTTTTTTTTTTACATTTTTCTTGCATTCATTTTATACTTTGCAACCTTATTTTGTCAAATCTTGGTTTAGCTTTTGATATAATTTATTGTTTTTTATTGTAGAGGTCCTAATTAAAGGAAAGTAAATAGTAATCAGAAATAATAGGTATAAAAATATATATACTTCTTATTTTAAGCATATAAACTTTTCAAAATATTTCTATTTTTTTATTTAATTTGTATTTACTATTTTTTAGAATCTATTATTGGTAGTCATGAACGACCTATAAAAGTAGTAGAAAATTGCCCAGATCTTAATTGTATACTGACGGGAAGTTGGGATACATTAGTGAAAATGTGGGATCCACGCACTAACCGTTGTGTTGGAACGTTCATGCAACCAGATAAGGTATACTTAAACCTATTACTTCCTATAAGAGACAAATATGTATGTATGTATGTTTGTTTATTTTTATTTATTTATTGAACAAAATTAAGGCATCACTTTATTTATGTGACATTTGCCATATATATATATATACATATATATATATATATATATATATATATATATATATATATATATATATATATATATATATATATATCAAATTAAATTAATACAAATATATATATGTGTGTGTGTGTGTGTTGAGACTATATATATATATATAGTCTCAACACACACACACTTCTTTTTTTTGTTCTTCCCTACCTCGCCTTTTAGGCTATACGGGATTTTCCCGGGCCGGGGGGTGAAGGCGAGGAAATTTAAAATACACACACACATATATATACATATAACACACATATATATATATATATATAACATATATATATATATATATATATATATATATATATATATAACACACACACACATATATATATTGTAACATCCCTTTTATATTTTACAAATAATAATAATATAACCTCGGAAGATCACTATAATACTATTAGGATACTTCCTAAATAAATAAGAGGTTATTAAATAATAAACAAAATTATAAGAGTATTAATATATTTATTTATCTCAGGTGTGGGTTACTGACAATCAGATCAACTCAGACAAACTATTATTATTTACACATTTATACTAAAATTAAACCCTGATTTTAAAGTAAAGTCAAATATGGATTGGCAAGCTAACCTTTTTTCTATAGATACTATTTCTTCCTTTGTTGCACTAAATTCATTTGCTTTCTAATGTTCTGCCAAACACAACTTCCAATATGGTAATACTATTACTAGGTTTTACCCACTGGAGCCAGTATCACTTCTCCCTTCCTCTCTTCACTTCCTCTCTTTCATTTTTAGGGTAATTATTTAAAGTGTTATAAGTTTTACTACCACATACTAAAACTATTTGCTTTAAGGAACTGTAGAGAAAATCTTTATGAATTTCTATAATTTTTAATAACATCATATTGTTATTTGATTACTTTGTAGTCAAATGTAAACACCAACTGCCCGCCAAAACAAAAACCTTTGTTCCTCTCCTTTTTGGGATTTTCTTTCTTGGGAAACTACAGAGCAGCCATTTTCTTTTTTCTGCACTAGTAGAACTAGATTAGCTTGTCTTTTAATTGTTCAACATTAATTTATTAAACACTTTTAACTCACTTCCAATAAAGGTGTACATTACAATATATATTTATATATATAGTCAACACACACACACACACACACATATTTATTTATATATACGTGTGTTGACAGCCTTGCCTGTCTATTGTTTAATTGGGCACTGGAATGTGCAGTTAGAATCTGTAAAGTTGTGTCAGGTGTGCAAATTGAGGGCACCTTATTTAATGGATCGGCTCAAATCCTTGGTTTTGCGGAAAACTTGGACATAATGGGAAGAAGCATGGCATCTATAAAGGAAGCATTTCTCACTCTACAAGAAGTTGTACAAAGAGTAGATCTGACTGAGAATCAGGCATAAACTAAATATATGAGAGCAGATCCACAAGGGTTGGATTAGTAGGATGTCCGCATAAGAATAGGATACTTAACATTTGAATTTGTGAGCAAATTAATTTATTTAGGCTCTTAGGTGAACTCTGACAATAATATGCAGCAAGAAATTTATAGAAGATTAATGGCTTTAAACAGATGCTATTTCGAGCTCCTAAAATATTTCAGAAGTAAGTGTCTCTCATGTAACACTCAAGTGCAACTTCATAAGATCTGTTTTGACCTATGCGTCTGAATGCTGGACAATTGAGCTCAAAAACTAATGCTTCTAAGATTCGAGAGGTGGATCCTTAGACGAATCTTTGGGCCAGTTTATAGTGACAATTCTTGGCGACTGAGAACTAATGCTGAAATAGGAAGATTGTATAATAATATAAATTTTTTCAGATTTATAAAAGCTTCATGGGCAGGCCATCTTGCTCAAATGAAGAACAATGAGATCCCAAAGAGACTTTTGGAAGAAAGGCTGTATGTAATCCAAGAGGAGAATTGGTAGGCTGAGACTGCAGTGGACTGATGGAATGACTGAGGATGCAAGGTCTATTTAAGATAAGAAACTAGAAGGCTGTAGCAGTGCATTAAGAGGATTGGGTGTTGATGCTATAGAAGGCCCTGACACACCATGAGTTGTAGTGGTTGAAGAAAGGGCTTTAATTTCAATTGATAAATAATTGTAAAATATTTGCAACTGAGCAAATTATATTATTTATAAATTTGCTTGTTACTGTATTGTTTCTCTTTTGATAAAATGAATTTCCTGTAATATGAACCTGCTGGTTCTAATTAGTTTGGATTAGAGAGTGATGTACATGCTAAATGATTGTATCAAGTCTATTTAGTAATAATAAAATCAAGCTAATGATGTGAAAGATGTTTTTCCTGTTTTTTTTTTTAGGTTTATACCATGGGAATATGTGGTGAAAAATTCGTTGTTGGAACCAAAGAAAGAAAAGTTTTCGTTTGGGATTTGCGTAATTGTGGTTATGTTCTTCAAAGACGTGAATCCAGTCTAAAATATCAAACAAGATGTATAAAGTGTTTTCCCAACAGACAAGTAAGGAACCCAAATATCTTTGAGTAAATATACCTCTTTTTCTTTTTTTTTTTTTTTGCATTTATCAAAATGATTTTGATTGGAGTTTTATAATCCTGATCGTGTTTATTCAGACGAAAGACTTCAGCCTGTCGAGTCAGGTCTAGCTGATACTAAAATTCAGTCAATTATGGGATGAAATGTGATTTGATGAGTTTATGCCTTTGGTCTGTGCATACCCATAGAGGAAATTAAACCTTTGCTGTCTTAATGGATCTCAATTGTTAAAATACCATCAGTGTTATAGAGTATATATAACATAGCATGTTTACTATTCTCATAAAAAGCATTTTTGTGAGTGTTGAAGTAATTGTTCTTGGTCAGATGGGCATCTCTATGGGATTAGTTTGTTACTTAATATTTAAAAGTAAGACCTATTTGTTGTATTGGGGGAACAGCCTATTTGTATTGCGTTACAGAATCACATGTTGTTGTTTTTTCTACTATGATGTGTCACATTCTGTTGATGTTATATTTACTTTCGAAGAAGGCACAAAGCAGTTGATTAGTGTTTTTACCATTTCACATGTTTTATAGAAAACCAGAATTCATCTATATTTTCTCTCCCTCTTCAACTCTTTTTGTCCTTAGAAATATAAGTTATATATAAACAATCTTTATTACATTAAAGCTCTTGCAATAAATTAAGATATTGGTCACACATTTTTTTTAATTAAAAATTTTACATTAAATTTTAACGTTTTCCAACACAGATAAAATGCTCATCGCTATTTCAACGAGATTTTTGTGTGAACTATTTACAATATATTTATCAAATTGTTTTATGTAAGTAAGTCATCCAATGTTCCTGTCTTATCGTTACCATTTTGCTGGACTGAATATCATCTTTTTTCAATGTTCATTAAAGTTATTTTTTATCTGAATATTATAGTTAGTTCATTATTTTCTCTTTCTTAATGGAACATTTGTTCAAGGGATTTGCCTTAAGTAGTATTGAAGGAAGAGTTGCTGTTGAGTATTTAGATTCTAGACCAGAAATTCAAAAAAAGAAATATGCATTCAAATGTCACAGAATTAAAGAAGATGGCATCGAAAGAATTTATCCTGTCAACACAATAAGGTAATTAATTGTGTCTGTGTGTGTGTATTATGTAAATGTTTCTTTTTTTATTGGTGCATTGTTTGGGATTTTTTTTTTTTTTTTTTAGCACATATCAAGCAACATTTAATATTTCATAATCAATATTAATTTATAAAATAAACAAAATAAGTATTTTTTTTCTTCAACATCAAATAAAATGACCTTTTTATTTTTTATAGTTTTCATCAGGGATATAATACATTTGCTACTGGAGGAAGTGATGGATATGTGAACATTTGGGATGGCTTTAATAAAAAGAGGTTATGTCAATTCCATAGATATCCTACTTCAGTTTCATCTTTGGCATTTAGTCATGATGGTATGTGATTATGATTTGTGATTTATTACTGTTCTTATGTTTGTGCTATTTTTCTTTCACAATTCCAAAACAATTATGTCCGCAATTTACACCAGTATTATTTTACTGATAAAACTTGTCATTTAATCTCAATACAAATCCATTGATTTTAAAACAAAATGAGTAAGGCACTGTTTTCTTTAAAAACTGATTAATTTCTCTGCCCCATCAACATTTAGCTGTGTAAGCAGTATTAGTACAAATTCTAAATGTGTTATCAATTTTTAGTAAATGAACTCTCTTTGCTAACTTACTACATGTGCCAAAATAAGATTTTAGCTTGCCTAAAAAAAAAAAAACATTTAATAATAAAAAATGTGTTAACACTGCTGTGAAGCTTCTTTTTAAATTTATTTATTGAAATTTACAACTGTTAAATAATTAACAGTTGTAATAATAGAACAAAATAAATAATAGAACAGAATGAAAGTAATGGCATGAACAGATTTTTCGAGATAGCACCCAAAGGTAGCACTCCCTAAATTGTATCTTATTGTGATGTGGTGAACAGTTTCATTCACACTCCCTAGTCCTTACATTATATTAATGTTTCTTGCAGCCTAGATTGAAAATTTTTACAATTAAAACTAAAAAAAAAAAGTGGCACTTCCGGTTATCCGATTTTAAGGAAAAAGTTGCTGTCACATCTAAGGCATATACCTATCTTAAATACGTAATTTCAGTTTCATAGGACTTTTTGTTTTTGAGCTAGACTGCTAACATACAAACACACAGACCATTTTTCGGGACTTGGTCATTTCGACTCAAGGGACCTCAAAACGTTTATTTCCGTTGAAAACTCAGATTAAAAAATTTTCTCGATCGCAATACTTACCCTTACTATATATTACATATATACCACTAGCGGATCCAGGATTTAATTTTGGGTGGGGGGCTCAGCCCGAAAGCTGTTTTTTTTCATAAAAATAACGATAATTACTTTGGAAAAAAAGAAAGAAACTAACTACCTGTATGAAATGGTGTCTTAAGTGATTCCTAAAGCCCTTTTAAATGTAATTGCACAAACATTAATACTTTAGGAGATACTTTTTTAATATTTTTTAAGATAAAACATGGCTATATTTTACCATTTTGGGGGGGACTTCAGCCCGAAAGCCCCCCCTCCCCCGTAGATCCGCCCGTGATATATATGTAAGTGAAAGTAAAAATATAGCTTAGAAATCATGCCTTTCTATAATCTTATTTAATTGTATGGTAAAACAAGAGTAATGAACTGGGTTGTTAACAAATATCAACAAAAAATTGACTATTCTTTGCTGTTCATTATAATCACTGTGTAGTTGTTAATAAATTATGGAAGACCACTAAATTCTCTTCAAATTTTTAACGGAATAAAAATGTTTATTTCATTTGAAGCAACCCAGTATTATATATTGTTTTTAGCAAATTTCATAGTGATACAAGTTTATGGTCTTATTATAATGTTTATTGCAAAATGTATTTATGTTATTCTTTAAATCAAACATTATTTATTCTAGTTAACTATTTCTTGCAGGATCAATTCTGGCAATCAGCTGTTCCTCTGTTTACGAAGAAGCCCCTTCAGAAAACCCTGTTGAAAGTGCAGTTTATATAAGATATGTAACAGACCAAGAAACTAAACCCAAATAATATTTTTGTAATTAATTTTTTATTTGTACATAAAATGGTTAAATCAGTATAGCCATTTCTTTAAAAACTTAATATTTCTAAAGTGGAATAATCCATTTTGTTAAAATTGAGCATTATGATCTTAAAGTGAGGGTTGATTAATAATCCTATTTTATTTAATTTATGTATATGTACTTTAACTGTATAATTTATTTTTAGCAATTATTTTTGTTCAGTTTTCAATGATAAATGACACAATTTTATTTTTATAATGTCTTCCATGAATTCCCTTAATATAAATAAGACATTTATAAGATTAATATTTGATTTTGCTTGTTGATAATTTTGTTTTCATGGTTATTTAATTGTAATGCCCCTCATTTTTAATACCATGGTATATGTATGTATTATGTACTTCAACTGTATAATTTATTTGAACTTATTTTTAGCAATTATTTGTATTCAGTTTGCAATGATAAATGACACAATTTTCATTTTTATAATGTCTTCCATGAATTTGCTAGAATATATTGTATGTTATTAAACTGTGATTTCCATTATCCAGTACCATACTCTACCTACTACTAACTACCATGGCTTATGGTAAAACATATTTCTTTTTACTCCATTTGACAATTTTGTATTGAAATCCCTTAATATAAATAATACATTTATAAGATTAATATTTGATTTTGCTTGTTGATAATTTTATTTTCATGGTTATTTAATTGTAATCTTTTTACTCCATTTGACAATTTTTTGTATTGAAATCCCTTAATATAAATAATACATTTATAAGATTAATATTTGATTTTGCTTGTTGATAATTTTATTTTCATGGTTATTTAATTGTAATACTCCTCATTTTTTAATACCATGGTAAATTATTTGTAAAATAATATTTAGTTTTTGCACTAGCTTTGAAAAGAAATACAATTTTGAAGTGAATAAGATTTCTCATATATAAATCATTTATCGCAGCTAATGGCCACTGGTCATTTACCATTGGAAAGGGGAAAACAATTGAATGGCATTCAATTTCACATACAGAAATTGTTTATTGACACGAGATTGTACTGGAAAGTATTTTATTGGTAAAATACAGTAACATTTATAAAAATATTACTTTATTGTGTTTTTGGACTATAATTTAAAATAGAAGTTAATTATTATTAAATAGTTTAATTCCCATATTTTGTAAATGAAAACTTTAAAACAAATAAAATATATAATTTTATTTCAATAGAAATGGTGCTGATTAAAGGAAAACTTTTACTTATTTTTTGGTTGAAGTAGATTCTCATCTTTCTTATCCAAGTAATTAATTATTTTACATATGAGTATAGTTTGACATTGATTACTGGGCAACTCATGCTTATAACTCAAAGTTTGGTTTTTCCCTTGACCTCTGATATTACTTACATAATACATGTGTGTATATATATATGTTTTTTAAACTATATTGTAGTATTCCAATTTATTTATGTGTATTATTTGTAATATCAGATGGTTTTGGAAAAAACAAAATATTAGTTTATCTTAGTGCTGCTGCATGAGTTTTCCCGTAGGGCTGCTATCCAACGATGGTTGAATTATATTTTTTGACTGACATGTTTGTATGCCATATTCCCAATCTATCTGTATTTTTGTTTATGTTGTCTATCTGTATTCAGATTCTTGTTTACTACCAATCTAAATAATTAGTCTGGATTTAATTTAAAAGTCATTTATGTGTGTACCTCTAGTTTATAGATAAATTTAGGAATTCTATAGATAAATATTCTTTAAAAAATTAGCTTCTTCATAATTGTGGGTTGATGGTAGACTGTCGTGAATAATGAAGAGAAGGATGGTTGGGGTCATCAGTCAGAATTAAAAGGGCAAAATAAATAATAATATTTATTTTAACATTTGCCGACGTTTTGATCTGAAGTTCAGGCCTTCATCAGGGCCAAGAATTCTATGGATAATTCTGACTGATCACCCTAACCATCCTTCTCTTCATTAGCTTCTTCATGATTGTCTAATATAATATTTGTCTTTTTGTACAGTTACAGGTCACAAATGTTACCCCAAAATGTTTAAATCAATGAAATGAAATAAGATGTTCAATTTATATGTAAATTTTTACTAGTACTGTGTCATAAGTTTTTACTAGTTCTTTGTCTTTCTGTAACAAAAAAAAAAAAATTATATATATATATATACTGTATAAAGTTTTGTGACACTGATGATTTCAATTATTCATGAGTCTACTATTTCTTGTTATCATTTGCGATTCATCTAAGCATAGATTTACTTTAAATCAATTGTTACTTTTTAGTGGTCTGCACTGATAGTATTTCATAAAATTTATTTTACTTCTCAATTTTTTACTATCTCAATCTTACTTTTTACTTTCACTTACCTACGTATGAAATATATAGTAAGGGACAGTATTGTGATCATGGAAATTTTCGAATCTGATTTTTCAATGGAAATACAGTTTTGAGGTCTCCTGAGTCCAAACCAAAATAACCAAGTCCCGTAAAATGGTCTGTTGTATGTGACAAGTCTACCTCAAAAACAGAAAGTCGTATGAAAGTGAAATTCCTTATTTCATGTATGGATATACCTCAGATGCTACATATAGCAACTTTTACGTCAAATTCGGCAAACCAGAAGTGACACTTTATATCAACGGTAAAACACATTTTTACAATCTTTTTAAAAATGGCTCCAACGATTTTGATTAAATTTGTATAATTAAGTGGTCTTCAATATCATTATCCCCATTGATGTCACTTTACAGGGCTTAAATGTCCAATGTTCATATAAGTCTTCCTCTAAAGTACCTTTAATATAGTTTATTTTAAAAAATTAACTCTTTTTTAATGACAGTAACTATAAAAAATGGCTAAATATGAAGTTTAAAAGAATATGATAATTGGAAACTGGAGAAAAAAATAAAAATGCTTATCCAGGTTGAAAATGAATCTCCGGAAATAAAAGTCAGAAGGTATACGTATAATATATCATTGGAAAGTGGAGAGTTTTAGAAAAAGTAATATTCTAAATAAATTTGTAGAAGGCAACAGAGAATGTCGATTAAAATATAAATAATAATTTCTGAAAACTAACATTATTTGACATAAATCATGTATTTTTTTAAGTTTAAAAAAGTATTTAAAATCCATCGAATCAAGGCAATGCCATTATTTAAAATACTATTTCATTGTTCTTGTGTGAAATGTTTATAACCTTAAATACATTTACTGTAGTTTAATAACTCCAGATCTGATATTATATTTAAATAATTAGGTATCTTATCATCCGTTTATTCCAAAAAATCATCATGTAACCTTTTCGAAAATTAAATTAGTGAATAGTTTCATGAATTTCTGCTTTGTGAAATCCCAACATTATTCAGTTAAAATTAGTGTGACAACTTTTGAACTATCTAAAGATTAATGAACAGTTGCGTGAGATTTATAGTTGGTGCCCCGAGATACTACCATATCTCTCACTACTACACTGAGTTAGAGTGGCTCTTCGCCTCCATTCGAAGACAATATTGCCTAGGTACATTCCTCTATCATATCAACAATCATCGTCCTTCCTACACCTACAACCTTCTCCAATTCAAGTCCTCAGTCCACTCCCTTTCCACAAGATCTCGACCTTCCGACCTTTACATTCCTTCTCACAGATCTGCCTCGTTCCAAAACTCCTTTATTGCTCATTCTGTTAGTTTCTGGAATTCCCTTCCTATCAAAATTCGACATTCTTCATCCTTATCTACATTCAAAACCCTCCTATTCCAGTTCCTGTCCCAAAAACAGTCAGACACCAGCTAACCTTTTATGTAAAATTACATATTATTTATAATAACATATTCACATATAGCTCATAACCTAAATACTTATTATAGATTCGACTTTCTTTTTTTTTTTTCAACAGAAACACAGATTTTACTGTTAAAAGGAATTTACATTTATTTTTTCTGTATTTTTTATTTTTTCTAAAAGGATTTATTTATATTTTAATACTTAATATTAATATTTATAGATTTTTTTATTTTATTTTGTATATAGTATGTATAACTATTTTTTTTTTCTTTTTTTTTACTGATTTATCTTTATCTTAACTTTTTATGTTTGTTTTTATCTGGCCAGATATAAAATTTTAATTTCTGTACTTTTTTGTTATTCTGAAGGGACTTGGTCCTAGAATAAAATTATTTTTCTATTCTATCTATGGCAGGAAATGAAAATCTCGTAATTTCGTTTTAGTAAACTTTACAGTGAAAAATAAGTTTAATAACTGATAGTTGTACAATCCATAATCATTTATAGGTTAAGTATACAAATGTACTTTCAAATCTCTCTAGCCATGTATTAGCCTTTCTGTTGACAGAATGACTAACTCCAATTTCAACATTAATTATTAATAATTTCAGTGATATTTCATGTGGGATAATTTACAACTTTATCCACAGTTCTATATTTCAACACTGCAATCATCTACTCTAGAATCAACTTACTCACTGTCTGTACAGATATAAATTTTCTAACTAAAAATTTCACTAAAATGACATTACTCACAAATGTTGAAATTGGATTTAATCATTTTTTCAACTGAAAGGCACATATATGGTTTACAAAAACAGATGGAGTCACGAGGTTTTTATTGCCTACCGTCGATATAATAAATAGGATTTTTGTTTTAATGATCTGTAAGCTGTAAGCTTTAACACCGTTTTAAATGTGTTTCAAAAATTTAATAATAGTCCATCTTTGCCAGAAAATAATTTATATTCAAATAAAGGGGTAAGTGAAAGTTGTTTGTTGCGCGCACCAAAATTTTGTTCTTTATTATTCCCTATTAAGTTTGTCAGTAATTCTCTCAAACCTTTGTATGGTAATATTAATTTATCTCTGCTTGGTTAAATGTCCTGTGTACTTTTTATAGTTCTTCCCTTATTCGTATTCCTTGTGGTATCATTTCCAACATTGAGGAGCCTCAAATCGACGCATCTATGCCTCTCGGTCCCAGCTAAGCTGCCTCATTCTACATTTTATAGCCACTTATACAATATTTTTAAGAAAAGTTATTTTATTTTTGATTATTTATCAACATGATCTTAGATTATTGTACCACATCTGTACAATGA